GGTTAAGTGAGCTCTAGCTAGTCCGGCACCTTTGTTGCTTAATTAGGATCTTTGCAAGGTGCTAGACAACATAGATAGAGGGGTGTAGTCTTGGCTAGACCGATAGTTTTAATTCCGCACGTGTTTCGATTAGCCGACGCGATTAAGTTTTAGAAACGACTATTCACCCCCCTCTAGTCACCATCTCGGCCCTACAAGAGCGCCTTGCGCTGTTGGAGCACCCTATGCTCCGCTCCCTTGATGGCGAAACCCGGAGGTTGCCTGACGAAGACCGTCTCCGCCAGCTCTTCATTGAGGAAGGCCGATTTTACGTCCAGGTGATGGACGCGCCAGTCCTTCGCTGCTGCCAAAGCCAGCAGCAATCGAATAGAATCTAAGTGCGCTACCGGCGCAAAGGCTTCCTCGAAGTCGTTGCCCTTGCGTTGGACAAAGCCTCGGGCGACGAGGCACGCCTTGTGCTTGACAATGGCGCCACGCTCGTCCCGTTTGACCTTGTACACCCACTTCAGGCCGATCGAAGGGCATCCTGGAGGTGGATCGACGAGCTCCCAAGTCTCATTTTCCTCGATCGCCTTCATCTCCTCCAGCATCGCCCGTCGTCAATTTGGATCACGCTCGACTAGTGCGAACGTGGGTGGTTCCTATGCACTGACAAGAAGCAGCTCTGGGTCATTGAGCGGCCGACCCGCTAGGCCTGAGGACCCTGTGCCACCGACGATGTCATCCAGCCTATGGAACTGCACCTCCTCACCATCGTGAAAAGCATCCACAAACTCTGTGATGTCGCTTGGAGGTGAGGCGAACTCGATCGGCGTCGATAGAGTCCCCTGTTCCGCCGAAGTGGTCGGCACAGCACCTGGAGTGCTCGACACCCTGGCTGTAGTGCTCGGCACTACTCCTAAACCGCTCGTCACCACTCCTAGAGTGGTTGGCACCACTGCAAGAGTGCTCGGCACCAGTCTTGGAGTGGTCGGCACCATTGCAAGACCTCTCGGCTCCGCTACGAGAGCGTTCGGCACTCGTCCTAGAGTGGTCGGCACTACTGCAGGACCACTCGGCACCCCTCTTGGAGTGCTCGGCACCCCTCCTGGAGTGCTCAGCACCACCCCATGAGTGCTCGGCTCTAATGCTGGAGTGGTCGGCACCTCCTCTCTAGCGTCTCCACCACCGTGGATGACCAAGTGCTCGACAATGAAGGTGCTGGTGAAGCCGCCAGCTTCCCCCATGCCCAGACTGTCCTAGTCCTAGGCCGCCTTCTCATCGAACACTACGTCGCGTGAGACAACCACCTTGCCTCCGCATGGGTCGTAAAGCCAGTACGCCTTGGTACCTTCCTCGTAGCCTAGGAGCACCATCGGTGTGCTCCTGTCCTCCAGCTTGGTGAGGACCAGCTTCGTCTTCCTGATGTGGCCGATGCAGCCGAATGTCCGGAGGAAGAACTTGCTCGGCTTGCGCCCATACCAAGCTTCGAACGGCGTCACGCCCTTCAGGGCCTTTGTGGGTGCGCGATCGAGGATGAACACCACCGTGGTCACTGCCTCACCCCAGAACCATGCCGACATGCTCTTGGCCTTCATCATGGATCGAGCCATGCCAACCACCGTCTGGTTCCACCGCTCTACCACGCCATTTTGCTGAGACGAGTATGGGGCGGTGTGGTGTCACACCACACCCTGACCCGCGCAGTACGTAGTGAACTCCACCGAAGTGAATTCGCCGTCGTGATCAGTTCGCAGCATGCGCAGCTTCTTGCCGCTGTCCACCTCCACGCGCGCCTTGAACTTCTTGATCGCCTCCACTGCCTCATCCTTGCTCGTCAGGAGTTGCAGCCACATATAGCGACTGCAATCATCCAAGCAGGAGAAAGTACCGCCGACCACTGTTTGTGGCTGGCGTGATTGGCCCGCAGAGATTGCTGTGGATGAGCTCGAGAGTGTTCGTCGTGCGATACTTGGCCACCTTTAGGAACGGCAGCCTCCTCTGCTTCCCGGCCAGGCAGCTGTCACATAGCTCGCCTGCGTGCTTGATGTGGGGCTGCCCTCGAACCATCTTCTCTAGCCGACCGAGCGCGTCGAAGCTGAGATGGCCGAAGCGGGCATGCCACAACCACGGCTCCTTGGTGTGCCGTGCTACCAGGCACACCGGCTGATCCACCTTCAAGTTGAGCAGGTATAGCCAGTTCTGGGACCTCTTTACCTTGGCAAGAAGGCGCTGCTCCCGGTCCCTGATTCTGAGGACGTCGTCCTTGATCAGTACCTCGCTGCCGTGCTCATCCAGCTGGCCAATGCTGATGATGCTTGAATGCAGCTACGGGATGTAATATACATCCGTCAGCGTGCGGTGCTCGCCATTCTGGCACCTAAAGATGATGGTGCTGCGCCCTCGGATCGCCACCCTTGAGCCATCACCGAACTTCACCGTGCCGGTCGTGTTGCCGTCGAGCTCGGAGAAGGCTTACTTGGAGCCCGTCATGTGGTTGCTGGCGTCGGAGTCCAGGTACCACCACTACTCCTGCTCGCTGCCCACACGCCCGAGGTGGACTTGGGCGCATGGTTCGTCGAGGTTGATAGCCTTTAGAGCCTTGCCGTGCCCTTCCACCACCATCACCTCTCCCTTCTCCTTCGCCTCAACGTCGTGCACATAATATCTCCATCAGGAGAGTGGCCTCATCATCCTCATCAGCCTGCGCTAAACGAGCCTTAACCTTCTTCTCCTGCTTGCGATTTGGACACTCCTTTGCCCAATGGCCCGTCTTCCCGCAGCGCCGACAGGCGTTGGGGTCGACCTTCTTCTTCTTCTTCTCCGAAGAAGCCTTGCCGCGGTGCTTGCCATCACCACCGCGGCTGCAGGAGGCTTCCCTGGACTTCTTCATCTAGGCAGCCCACTCCTCCTCTGTCAGCAGCAGCTTGTCGCTACCCGTCGTTGCTATGGCCAGCTCCATGTGCTTGTCCACCGCTCGTAGACGGCCTATCAAATCCTCAATAGTGAGGGTGGACAAGTCCAGCATCATCTCTATAAAGAGAGCTATCTGGATGTACTTCACCGGCACGGAGTGAAGGTACTTGGAGACCGCCTTTTCTTCCTCGATGGTGACACCGTGGCTCCTCGGCTTACTGATGAGCGACTGTAGGTAGAGGGAGAAGTCCTCCACCGACTCAACATCCTTGAACTTGAGGTTGGCGTACTCCTGCTTCAGCAGCTATGCCATCGCCTTCTTTGCATAGTCGGAGCCAACGCGCATCGCTGCAATGGCCTCCCACGCCTGCTTAGCAGAGTTCTTCGCCCCCAACAGCTCTCTGTACTCCACTGTCACAGCAGCGAGGATAGCCTCCAACGCTAACATGTCGTCGTCTTCGCTGTTGGTGCCCTTGTCAATGGCATTCCAGAGCCGTCGGGCTCTGAGCTTGGCCTTCATGGTCACCGCCCACTCGCCATAGTTGGTGCGAATCAGCGTCGGCCAACTGGTGCCGCTAACCTCCCGCACCGCGCGCATGATGACCTCCTATCGTGGCTGGGCAGCCACAACAGCGTCGCCGCTGTCGCCCATTTCCAAACCGTCCGTCATCGCCAGCGGTTAGTCCGACAACGGCGTTTGTACGGCTCTGATACCACTTGTTGGTCCCGAGATCTCCCGCACGGGTGAGCCGACCGCTCACCGTCGTTGCCGACCGCACACACTACGGTTGGAGGTATAAGAGGGATGGAGAACAGAGCGCACACACACAGCACAAGCACCAGCGTTGGCCGGAGCTCTACAGAGGAGATGGCAAAACTGAACTCGCTCACTTTACTGAGTTGCAGTAGTAAGTTATATATACAACTCTACACATCTAATCCTAATACACAGACATGTCAGGCTGCCATACTGCTACAGTGACTAGATGTGGCAGCAGGGCTGACTTTGGCGCCTACCTCTGCTGTGGCTATAGTGCGGCAGGGGAGCCTTTTGGCGCCTACCCCTGTCGCGGCTACAGTGCAGCAGCAGGGAGCCCTTTCAGCGCCTGCCCCTGCCTCACGTACAAAGATGGAAGAGCAGCAGATTACTTTACACAGAAGAGCCTCAACAGGCAGGTGTGACTTTTCAACAGTCTTGGATATTGCTTGCCATTTTTCACCATGCTTTGGTTCTGCTGCAACACATCTTTTCAGAGCATCCTTTTGTGTGTCTGCATTTCCATGCTGAAGTTCAAATTTGTAGTACAATGCCCAAAAATCACCAACATCAGGAGCAAGAGTAACAGCCCTGTTCAACCAACTCCTAGCTTTATCAACCTTCCTGTCAAGCCAGAAAAGTTTGGCCACGGTTGCAATGACATGTGGATCATGATCGCTTCGCTTAATTGCATCTGCACTCTTCCATTTATGCTGGGGGCATGGCGCCATCTCAATAGCTGCAGCCCACAGAATACCCACTTGTTGGACACTCTAGTAATGCCTTGGCCAGTAGAGCATCAGCTTCCTTTTTGTTCCCATTCCTCAACTCAGCTCGAATTGCCGCAAGCAAGAGTTCAGGTGTAGCAGGGTTCTTCTTTCTAGCCATTGTGAGGACAGCACGTGATTTACTCAAGCCACTAATCTTCTCCTCCTGGCTAGCTAGAGAGAGCCAAAGCGGGATGCAACTAGGGCAGTGCTTGAGGCCATTCTCAAAAACCTCCTTGGCCTTCGCTCTGTCAGCTGGAACCTCTTCGGCGGCCGGAGCTCACTCCCGCGAACTCTCTCACTCTCGCGCTCTCAAGAACAGAGATGAACACTGGAAGTTTTTGGTGCCGTGCACAACCGTGACAGCGTTTTCTGCATATATGGTTCCTACTTATACACAAGCTACGAACTGCAAATAGAAACGAGAAAGAAGGAGCGGCGTAGCTAGCCTCGCGCCCTCCGGCATGCACGCCATGGGCGCCACGACCCTTGAGGTATGCGCCATCCCACACACCAGGCCATGCCACAGCCAGCGGGCTGCCCTCTCCATGACGCGAACAAATCGCCACGCTGTGGCCCCATTACAGAGACGCGCTCGGGAGGATATGATTGTCCAGGCTGAGCTCAACGCTAAGTCTAACTGAATAAGAAACTGAGCTGAACTCAGGATTACAAATTTGATCACATGCTCCATTACCAAGCCGGTCCTCCATCTGTCCAAGCATTAACCACAATTTGAAGAATGAAGGGAATAGCTTCAAACATTCCTCCAACAATCTCCTTTCCTCACCAACATTTCCCAACTCCCTCTCAACAATGGCAGATTTCATCCAAACCCTCTCTGTCCCTCCTCTTTCCCTGGCCTTGGCCAAAAGCATTCTGGCTCGCTCTGGCTCATTGTTCTCAAACTCAATTTTGAATGCAGCCAGCCAGATCTCTTCTGAATTGGGGATAGCAGCATAAGCTTCCTGAAGAATAGCATGAGCAGCAGGCACGTCCCTAGCCAACCATTTCTCCTTTGCAGCCATAAGCCACAATACTTCAGCCCCTGGATTGTAGTTAACAGCCTTCTTTAGGAGTGCATCAAGTGACTCCCTAGTCCCATGGCTCTTCTCAAGTTGAACTGCTTTTAGCCGAATACTCTTCTTAGTCAGGAACACAGTAAGTGCATGTGCATAGATGGCACATGCTGTTTCAATTGAACCGCGCTTCTTGCATTCCTGAGCATCAGCAACCCATGTACGCTTCCGATCCTCATCTTCAACACCAATGCCTATAGTGTTCTTCACAATAGCCTGGCAAGTCAAAACTGATCCAGCACGCTCCACGGCTTCTGCTTCTTTTAACCATGCTTCCCTATCAATATCCATTCCTTCTCTCTGTAGAGACCTGATACCCCTCTCAATCACCTTGTTAACTGATTGCGAGTTCCCATTAGCCTCCTCTAGCTTTGCAGCTGTAATCCAAATGGCAGGCTCCTTGGGGAGCTTCTCCCTTGCCTTGTTAAGTACTTTCCTTGCTTGGTCATAGGTCTCCAGCCTCGCAAGGGCAAGCCAAAGCTCAACATGCAGCGGGCAACACTCCACAGCCCTGTGAAGCAACAGCCTTGCATCCTCCTCATTTGCAAGCTCAACTACAGCCTTCCATAGCCGGACAGAATCAGGAATGTGCTCCAACCCTTTCCTCAAAACCCTGCTCTTATTCAGATCACTGCTCTCCAATTTTGCTGCCTACAACCATAGCTTCATAGAATTCGGAATTGGCATCACACCACGGGCAATTACAGCCTTCGCCTCATCTGGACTGGCCAAACGGCACGCCTCTAAGACAAACATCTTCGTTCTTGGGACACTCCTCACAGCCACGCTGGATGAGTTGCCGAGCAACCTGAAGTTTGCCAGCAATCTCTTCGAGCCTAGCAGCAGCAATCCAACCGGGTGGGTGCTCCGACTTGAGCAATAGTCGTGCCTTCTTGATGTCGGAAATCTCAACATCACTAGTGATCTTCATGCTTTTTAGGTCTGTCAAATACCCTTTGGGATCAACTACAGTGAGACCAGAAACTGAATCTGGCAGCCTATCCAACTTGGGGCTTGTTTAGTTCCAAAAAGTTTCCCAAAAAGTGCTGCAGTAGCCATCACATCGAATCTTGCGATACGTGCGTGGAGCATTAAATGTAGACGAAAAAAAACTAATTGCACAGTTTGGTTGGAAATTGCGAGACGAACGTTTTGAGCCTAATTAGTCCATGATTGAACACTAATTGCCAAATAAAAACAAAAATGCTACGGCAGCCAAATTCCTAAAATTCGCGAACTAAACACAACCTTGAGCGAGAGCACAGTGCCACGGCCCTCGCCCACAGCTGTGAGATCGGTAACAGGAGTCGGCGCCCATGGTGTCTCTGTGCCACCAGCCGCACAGCTCTTAGGGTCAAGTGCTGTGACATGCTCCTGCTGACAAAATGGTATGAAAAATGGGCTTTGCACTTTTGTCATCCCGCAAATGGGATTTGCCCGTTTATCATTATCAAACGAGGCACACCCGCTAAAATGTCCTGCGACAGATTTATTGTCAAATTAATTTTTTTTACCACGGCATATTTTCCTTCCCGTTTTGCCCCTCAGCCTTATCCCTTCCTTCCTTTTCATTCACGGTCATTCACGGACCGGAGAGAGACGAGACGGAGACGCCGCCGCTAGGTCAAGCAAGGAGAGGGAACGGCTCCTCGCCGCCACCACCACCGCCCGCCGATGGTCGACGGCAGGCTACCTCCTGGGCCCTTTCCCCGAAACCAGCCAGGCGTCCCGGCTCTGCCGGCCAATGCCAGCGCTGCTCCAAGTGCTGGATGGAGGAGAACTTGCCAGATCTCTTCCAAGGGTACGTATTCTTGCTGTGGTGGTAATGTAACTGTGCCCAATCGTGTAGATGAGACTCGGCTAGTGTAGATGTGGTGATAATCTAACTGTGCCACTTTTTTTACTAGGCTTGATGGGGAGCCTGAGCTTAGCTTACACTGGTAGAACCTCCTGCACAGCAATGCAAACACCTCTTGTTGATTGGGATACGCTACGCATCGAGGAAAGTCGAGATGAAGAGGGAAGAATTGAGATTGTTGATGATGAGGTGATGTATGAACTGTTGGGGTTTAGGGCTGAGGATGAGGAAGCTGATAAGGCAAGAAAGGCGGCTAGTAAAGGCTGCGGTCAAGAGAACGATGATACTCGACAGAGGACTAAGAAAGTTGATATAATTGGGGCAGCCATTGAAGTTGATGACCATTTACCAGGGGAGAGAACTATGGTGCATGATCCAAATCGGCCCAGTATGGATCTTGGCACAGTTTATCCTAACATGGAGTTTAAATTGGTTGTGAGACAATTTGCTATAAATAAAGAGTTTGAACTACACATTGTCAAAACAGATCTAACTAGACACATTGTTGATTGCAACGGAGAAGATTGTCCTTGGCATCTTGTTGGGCATAGACAGCCTGATGGGTGCACCATTATGGTACTCACTTGCATTTTGTGTTCCGTTAATTTTTTCTCTTCAATAACTTTAGACTGGCAATGTTTTTTTTGTCCTTCTTCTATATTGTTTGCCTTGACTAATTGTTTTTTTTTGCAGGTGACAAAGGATATTGATGAGCATACATGTGAATCAAGTGATGTGGAGAATTAGGCCACAGTGAAACAAGCTACAAATGCCATCTTAATGGGACTAAGACAAGGTAAGACCTGCTATATTTACTTGTTGTGCTCATTAACTTAAATATTTTTTTCTAAACTTGCAGGAAAAGAAAGCCAAGGAAAAATACAGCAAAGTATGGTGAGAATGCAAAGATCCTAACAAAAGAGCAAAGACGGGAGGGAAATCTCAGGATACTGCTACAGCACCACCAGCCCCAAATGCTTTCAATGATCAAGAAATGGTTGCACTAGGCCCAAATGCTTTCAATGACCAAGAAATGGCACCACCAGCCTCAAATGCTTTCAATGACCAAGAAATGGCTGCACCAGCCCCAAATGCACTCTCTAGCTCCACAAGGCTCACAAGGGGCTAGATCGTACAAAATAACCCCATTAGGGTGACAAGAGGGTATACAACACATTAATTCTCATTCTTTTATACTTGTACACAAGAGCAATAAATGACTTATAGTGGTACTTTTATTGCAGCCGACTCCAAACCCTGCTAGGTGAAGGTGTCGATCCCATCATTGCTGCCTCACCAGACAAGACAGTGCAAAAGAGGAGCCCACCAAAAAATTGAAGCCAAGGAAACTAAAAACTAATTGATGCTTTGTGTCTGTAATGTTATCTGGACATGTATCTAGACCTTATTTATCCTATGTATCTGGACATATATCTCGATCATGAAATTGTATCTCGACCTTATCCTATGTATCTCGACCTTAGTTAATTTATTTGGACCTATGTTATTGTAACTTAAATAGTATCTATGTATTGTGTGAACCTTTATAAAATCTACTATATTTCTAGAATATTATTGTGATCATGAAATTGTGTCAAAATTATTTCCAAATTCAATTGAAATTTTGTCCAAATTCAAGTAAAATTTTGTCAAAATTTTGTCTAAATTTATACAAGATTCTGTTCAAAATCAGACTACATGATCTGCATAAACAAGTGAAAAATGACTCATAATTTTAGAAAAAACATCTTCTTCATTACATAGGACTTAGATGTCATTACAACACATACTTCACTTGCTAATAAGCACTACCACGACTAAAAGAGCTAGGACTGCAATTACTAAACACAGCATAACCACTAGCTACACCAGAATGATAAGCTTGTCCATCTTGAGATCCATCCTGTCTGCCGCATAACTCACACACAACCACACAGACACATAAGAGCTAACTCACACACACATTGGCTGACTAACACAGACATTAGTTGTTCACTTCCACATACAGATAACCACAACACCAATCAGGACACCTACAAAGCCCACAAAAACAGAATAATCGATCACAATTTGCTTTGGCTCAGGCTTTGGCTCATGAATCGGGCTTCACCTTCAGTTTCCAAAGTTCAGCTACAACACTATCAAGTGTTTGCTTCAACTCTTGCAGTTCTGCTTTCAATTCAGAGCAACAGTCATCTGATGCCTCCTTAGCCTTTAGTCGGTGTTCTTGTGCTTCCGACTTCACATTCTGCACCTCAGGGAGAATGTAACCACATGTAGTTGGATCACCCTGCACCCAAAATGCATCAATCAGAGCAGCAACAAGAGATACGGTGATGTCACCAATGTCAAGAATCCTTACATTGATGTTGTACGGGCACTTGAGATACCACTCACCCAAAGTCGCCGGCTGCTTGCTCTGGATCCGGACCAATGGAACCTGGTAAAAGGGTCACTCACTACTGCCGCTACCTGTTGCGCTCGAGCCCACCGAGGTTACTTCATAGGGTTTCCAGTCCAATTCCTGGCCTGGCGTGGATGCGGCGGTGGCCTGGCGCGGACATGGTGGGGCGGTGGCCGCGGCCTGGCACGGAAGCGTCGGGGTGGCGACCGCGGCGTGGCGCGGACGGTTGGCGGCGGCGTGGCACGGATGGTCTCGCGTGGACGCGTCGAGAGGGAGGTGGCGGCATCCGTCTCGCATCTCTCTGTCTCTGGTTCGCTCTCCGTGAATGACCGTGAATAAAAAGGAAGGGATAAGGCTGAGGGGCAAAACGGAAAGAAAAATATGCCATGGCAAAAAAATAATTTGGCAATAAATCCGTCGCAGGGCATTTTAGTGGGCTTTGCCCTTGAACTCGTCGAACTTCTGGTTCTCGTCGTAGCCCTTCTCCTCGTCACCACCGTCGTCGACTTCGCCGTCATCCTCGTCGGGAGGCCTCCCGCGCCAGTGGCCGACGGTGGGGGCCGCGGTGGCGGAGGCGGAGCGGGCGGGTAGGTCGGGTGCGGCGCGGGCCGGCCCGTTATCCGAGCGGGTGGTAAAGCCGGTGGCACCACGGCCGAGTCCCGCGACGTAGTTGGGCGGTGGCTTGGAATTGAGGAAGTCGTACCACGCAGGACGAGCGGCCGGCGGCGGCAGGAGTGGTGTAGGGGTCGGGTGGTGTCCGACATGATGCTGATAAGTGGGCAGGTGGGGGAGGATGACTGGATGAGGGACAAGGAGCATGGGGCGGTGGCGCACGGCGCCGGCGAGGGCGGCCGCGAAGGAGTATGGTTGATTTTTTTTTTTGGGAAATAGTATGTTTGTTATGTTGGATAACTGCTTTCATGTTCGTCTATTTGATTTTGCATTAGTGCAGACGGGTTATCCTCCTTCCATTTTCTTTCGGATATGGGGCTCCTAGAAACTTAAAATTTTATTTTTTAGAATGTAGACCAACTAACCAAAATACATTGAAGAATCGAGCCATGTTCTTACTTCTATATAGAAAAAATAACCCGTCAGTTCATATAATGTTAATTCATTCAATTTTAAACAACTTCCTCCATTCTAAAATTGTAAGTCTCAATCTCGCATACGAGATTCAAAACTAATTATAGGTTTACAAAAAATAGTATCAAAATTTATATCTCTAAATATGTTTACTATTAACATTATGGTGTGATTAACCTAATTATGCTTATCTGATATCATAATATTAATGTGTTTTTATATATTTTTGTCAAAGTTAAAATTATTTGACTCGTCAAAATACGAGATGGAGACTATTTTGAGATATACTTTGTTCCTTGGCTATTCATAATAACACGAGTTTAAGGGGCGGTTTGATGGAGCTTCTCTCCTAGCTCCATCACCTCTCCAACCAAACACTCCAAAACCTAAATAGCTTCACCAAGCTCCGCAAATCATGGTGAATGGAGCTGCATGCGGGAGAGGGGATAAAAAAAATCAAGCTTTACCCAGCTCCCTTTCGCTCCCATGGGCCCACCGCCGTCCTTGCGCGCCTCAGGAGTCAATGAGGAACCAATGCCGGTGCCAAAGCTACTCCTTCCTCACGCACCATCAATGGGTGAGCTTGGGCATGAGATGGGAGCGGCGGTCAGCTTTGGCCAGGTTCGATGGGGATAAGCCATGATGAAAGTATTGTTGGCTGATTTATTGTGAGAGAAAAATATTATTCGTTGACTGAAAAAATATAACTTATAAACCAAGCGAACAGGGCAAAGGACAGTGAAGAAGGGCCAGTGCTCCCAGGAGCTCCCATCAAGTGGAAGGGATCGCTCTCTGGTGTCTTTCATTGTCCATGACACCAAGCAAGAGACAAGAGTTTCATCTATTGTTTTCGATTTTATTCATGTTAGTAGACGTTGTAATGTGGTAGCTCATATTCTAGCTGGTCTAGATGTACAATCCTGTGGTTCGATCTGGTTTCATAAGGCCCGGGCTTCTTTATGTAACGATTTATTGATACAGTGAAATGCTACCCATTATTTCGAAAAAAGAGAGACGCTGCAAGGACGAGTGAGAGAGATACGGCTAGAGGGAAGAGAGTAAAGCTGGAGCCAAATAAAGTTACTTCATCCAAAGAAGCTCAAGCCAGAACCATTTTAACCTAAGCGAAACTATAACAAGGGGCCCTAAACGAGGTTATCAGTCATGATATAATGTTTTCCTCTCAAAACAAACTAATACCAGCCGAACTTATCAGCCTAGAAACCAACCAGTCAACATGCGGGTTATCTAGACATAGCCACCTAGGCTAGGCCAAGCTTGAGATGGAGGACCTTTTTTGTTAGTTATTTATTATTCAAACTACGGCATAAGTGAACCTGGTACTGGTAGGCAAGGACGCAAGGTGACGAGACGATGCTGGTCGATTAATTCATCAGACTGATGAGAAGCATCATCAACCTTTGGCCGCGCGTTAGTTGAGACTTGAGACTTGAGAGGATGGATGAGAGGGAGAGAATCTGGTCGAACTGTGCTCACGGCAACAAACTGACAAACTCGACGGCGTCTTATTATGCTTGTCGATCGATCGTCCCCATGCTCGCGGCAACTAATAAGTCACTAACCCCGGCCGGCCCGTTTTATAATCTGTCTCGGGCATCAGTTCAGAGATCGAGGTCCTTGAGAAAGAAACTTCCACCAGCTCCAAGCCACCTCGATCCTCGCTGTAAGCCCCTGTAACTGTAATTTTAACTTCTACAGGCCCTCTTCTTCTCTTGCTTGTGCGCGACGCACTGCTCACTCCGTCCATGATAAAATGCAATTCCAATCTTAATTTTAACTAATTATAGATAAAAAGTATTAATATTTATTATATCATATCAAATAAATATCATTAAATTAATTATGAAATGTACTTTTATAATAAATTAATTTGAAGTTATAAATGTGAATAATATTTAGGCCCCGTTTAGATCCAAAATTTTTTGGATTTTTTTTCTACTAGCAACCTATTTGCATTAGTAGTTCCTGGCAATAGCGTATCTAATTATGGACTAATGTAGGTTCAAAAGTTTGCATCTCAATCTGCATTTACTCAGCCAACCGTGCAGTGCATGTTTTTCATCTATATTTAGTACTCCCCTCCAGATTTCAGACTGACAAATTAATACTGAACTATTAGTACGTCCTCCTGAAGTACGTAATTTTTTAGAAATCTAAATCAGGGCCTTTTTTTTTCTAAAAATTTTCAATTAAAATGGACTACTTTTGTTTGCACGTAACCCCGTAGTTGCATTAGAAGTACCTACCAAGCTAGCGTATCTGCTGTACTGTACTATGTATGTACTCCTATGGCTGTTGCATCTGAATCTGCAGCTACCTAGCCTGACCGTGCAGTGCATGTTACGGGCGTCACGGACATCAGTACGTGTGCCCCCTCCAGATTTCAGACTGACAAATTAATACAGAACTATTAGTACGTACTTAGTTCGTTAGAGCTATTTTTCAGTCATAAAATAATTTTTTTTTCTCACGATATTTCAATATTAGCCAAATTTCAGCACAAACGAACAGGGTGAAGAGAAAGAGATGATCTAATACATTTCCGTGCTTGTGTATTTAAGTACAAGGGAAACGTGTTAGACCCACGGCTCGTACATTGTTCGCTTTTTGGGCTGGTTTATCTTATATCGCCTTTTGAAATGATATTATTAGCTAATTTGATGTGAAAGAAAAAATCTTTGTTGAGACCAAATGTGTTCGTTATTTTTGCGCTTATAAGTCAAATATGATTTGAAGCTATCCTAAAAGTTAAGTGTAGGTGAGTACTGATCCCTGTCTCTACAACCGATCCAACGAACCTGCTGCAGGTACGGTACTGCATCATTATTTCAAGAGAGAATGCATCTCAAGCAAGACATTTGTTCATTATAATCTACGGAGTATACTTAGTCATGGCAACCATGATGATGTCTGATTCGATGGGATGGAGATGCAGGCATCCAGGGACATGCACTGGCTACCCTACCCGCCGTGATCGTCGTCCTCAGGGCATGTTTAGTTCCACTTCAAAATGTCAAAATTTTCAAAATTCTTTGTTACATCGAATCTTTAGACGCATGCATGAAACATTAAATATAAATAAAAAATAAAACTAATTACACAGTTTAGACGAAATCGATGAGACGAATATTTTAAGCCTAATTAGACTATAATTGGATACTATTTATCAAATAACAACAAAAATATTACAGTAGTATTTCACCAAAAATTTCGACATCCAAACGGTGCCTCAGGCCACCTGCTTACGTGCCAAACACACCAGGTGTCAGGCAGGTGCTCTCGCCTCGCCTGCTGACGCGAAAAGGAATAATACTAGCACTTCGTACGGTGCCACTGCTCTCTGCTCCCATACATGGCCGGCACGGCACGGCGGAGCACGGTGGCGTTGCCGTGTCGTGCCGCGTAGTGCCACCGTGCCGGCATATCGGCCCAGGCACGGCACTATAGGCTATTAGCCGTGCCGTGTCTCGTACCGCTAGGCACGGCAGCCCGTGCGTGCTCGTGCCGCTCCTGGCCCGACGCGGCGAGGCCATCGCGCCGCCGCTTCCTCGCCGAGGCCTTCGCGTCGCACGTCGAGGCCGCTCACGCTCCCTAGCTCGTCAACACAGAGGCCATTGTGCCGCCGCGCCGCCACACTGAGGTCGCCGTGCAGCTCCCCCACGTCACTGCAGACCTCGCGCCGCCGTCGTCTTTCCACTCTGCCGTTGACCTGGGAGTAGAGGAGCCACCGCTAGAGCTGCTGCGTCTCGCCGCTGCCCTTGGAGCCGCTATAGTGAAGGAGGTCGTGAGGCTGCTGCGGGAGGGAATGGGGAACGGGGAGCGGCGGCCTAGGAGGGAAGACGTGGGGAGCGGTGGCCTGGAGCGAAGTCGCGTCCCGCGCGCGTGACGGAGTCGGAGGAAGCGGCGAGGTGAGGAACTGAGGATGGGAACTCAGAGGTGTGGGGGATTAGTTTTAAACCTAGGGTTTCATCCAATGGCTGATATTCATCAAAAGAGGATCCAACGATTGAAAATAGCCAGGCCGCATCGTGCCGCCCCAAAAACCATGCCGTGCACGGTCTGGCACTATGGGCCGGTGAGGCGGCCCAGGCACGGGCACGATGACGAGCCGGTCCAGGCACGAGCACGAGGCAGGTCGTGCCGCACCGGGCCAGTGCTGTGCCTTTTCGGATCGGGCCCGTGCTGGCCCAGCGGGCCTGGCCCATCTGGACATATATACTCCTACATGAGCTAGTTATTTTTGCCCTCTCCCATTTATCCATATTGTTTGTGATATACTCTAGTTACAAAACACTCTATATATTTTATGGTCCTATTTATAGTCATTTTTTACATGGCACCTTCATGTGTTTTTTGGAACACCTCCATGTGGTGGGCATGTGCTTAGTTAAAATAATAGCTTAAGCTATGTGTTTAACATGGAAACTGAAAGTTGATTTACGTTTATGGCTTCCTACGTTTATGCATTGAGATATATATGTTCTATATATAGTCGCACACACCATATTTTGTATACCTTGATGAGCTTGTTTTTTCTTATATTAAAAAGATTGAAGTTAATAATTTAGAAACATATGTATGGGTACTTTGTGATAATATTTATTTATGACGACAGATATAAGTAATTTGGATGCATGTTTAGGGTTCACTTTAGGCTAGTTTTATATACAGAAATCGAAAATGTGGGTAATCTATCGAATGTCTCCAAAGATACAAAAGGTGGGTAATCTATCGAATGTCTTTGGAGACAAGAGGTGGGTTATCTAGATTCTTTTTTAAGTAAAGGTTAGGAATCTAGCTAGATTCCATTTAGGAAGTTAGTTTATATTAATTTTATAATGGCAGTAATTTTGGTCAAAATTATAGTAGATTGTTTTCATAATGAAAGAGGAAGATAATTCTTTAGAAAATGGAATATATCTTTTTTTTTATAATTCGACGGGAGGGGAGAAAATGAAATATATCTGAAAGTTATTATTGACAATGATGATTATAATCTACTTAACCGATGTCAGATTTTTTTTATTTTGTGAAATTTGTAGTACTAGCAAATATGCTCGTATGTTGCAATGGGAGAAAAAAATTATCAAGCATTCATGCAAAACGGTACATATCTACTTATGTTTTGTTCTTTTATAATTTATTTTATGATAACCGTGACATCCATAATATAAGTTAATGCTAACAATAAATAACAATGTCTTACTAAACATGTATCAAATTGAAATACACCTTGGTATATTTTTTCTTTCATTGCAAAGCACATAATTATTTAGCTATAAGTATATCATAACTTTAATTTTTCATAATACTCATGTGTTTCTACGACTCAATATCGACCTTTATAGCTTTTTTTATGCATCATATCAACCTCCGTATTTTTTTTTGTCAATGTGTCAAGGATTTGTCTGTCCACCAGTGATTGAGACCTCTCTTGAATTTTCAGACGGCAATCCTCGTCAGGACTTACATAAATACATTTGTAAGATTTCATTAGATAATAATCTGCGAAGTTTTCAGTTCATGAAATATTTAGTTGTGCCGCAAAACTAGTTTGGCATTTTTATGATTTTCTATGATTTTGGCGAATTTTGCAATGTCTCTGTTTTTATAGAAAAAGAGAAAAACGAAAGAAAAGGAAAAAAGCTTGCATAAGAAAAAAAGACTTGCATAGTCTTGGTCCAGTTCACAACGAAGCTGGCGTGCCCAACTGCAAGGATTCAACCCAGGTCGAGGAATTACATAAATACATTTGTAAGATTTCATTAGATAATAATCTGCGAAGTTTCCGGTTCATGAAATATTTAGTTGTGCCGCAAAACTGGTTTGGCATTTTTATGATTTTTCTAGGATTTTGGTGAATTTTGCAATAAAAAGGCCTGCATAAGGAAAAAGGCTTGCATAGGCTTGGTCTAGGCCCACAACGAAGCCGGCCGAACTACAAAGATTCAACCCATGTCGAAAAAGAAGCCCACCAGGAGAGACCCACTCGAATCTCGACATTTTGCATCATGAACCCTGATATATTTCAAAAACTATTAAGACACTTCCACCTTTTCTTTCTTTCTAGTATCTTTACATCTAGAACCCCATATTTCTTTCTATTCTCTTCCCTACTCCTAATCCCTGTTGGCAACGAGACCGAGACCTAGCCAGTGATTGGGGGAGGAAGAGGCAAAAAAAAAAATTACGACAAAAATTTTTATCTTTTTATTATTAGGTATAGATTTATTATTTTATGTAAAGCCATCGTGTGTGAGGCAACATCAACTTCGGAAGACACCATCACAAAAATTGAGAACCTTAACTGTCCTCATATCATATTTATCACTCAGCGCCTATGAACAACAAGAAGAGAAGCATATATCATATGTCATATGGACGCTACGTTGAAATGTCTACCTTGGCAAATGCAAAGTGCTAAATATGCTTGGGCATTATCGAAAATGACGGCATGCTCAATGACACAACTTAAGAATATGCAGACTGCCTAAAGAAAGTGCTATCACTGACAACTTCAAATCACTCTTCCGTTTTAGGCCCCGCTTTGAACGCGATTTTTTTTTTCTGTTTTCTGTGTTTTTCATGTAAAAATGAATTGATTCTTGTGTAATTACTGTGCCATGGTTATGAAATTCCTGAAGGTCGTGCCTTCTGTCTATTTGCTAGGCTTTTTGTTGTTGCGTTTTGTGAGTGCTGAGGACGGAATGGACGACGGTGTGGTACCCTAGATTGAATCAATTGGGCTCCAAGCTAATAAAACCGAACTAGCAGTGCCGCAGAATGCAAACAAAAAAAAAGCGCCTTTGATATGGGCTGGACGAGTTGTGCAGGTCGGGGCAGATGTTTGGATGAATAGCGGCCACATCCATTATGGCCCATGTGGACGGACAACCGGCTGCTTCTGCCCTCACAAGCCCACAACTAAGGATTCTGCATTTGTCTCGCTCAGATCAGATCGGTGTGGACTGAACGAATGGATCGTGTGGACCATCACGAAGAATTCATCCTCGTCCTTCAAAATGGCGAAACTAGTTCTACTGACAGAGACCTCAATGAAATTTAGGCCTCCAGCTCTTTATTGCAAATTTGCAACTGCTATCCAGTTTTTGTTTTTTTTTTAAATGCACATGCTTCTTTTAATGAAACTCACCCACACATGGCCATAATACAAGGTTATATACTTCATCGGTTCCAAAATATGTAACGCTTTGATTTTGCTCGATATGTTTTAATATATCTGATACGTAGCAAAAATAAAACAAAACATTTTGTAATTTGGAATGAATTGAGTACTAGTTATTGTAGTTTTGTTTGTCATTTACCTCGCCTTATTTTTGGGGGGCCAAGGTGGTCTTTTCGCTAACGTGGGAGGCATGGGCAGTCGGTTGAATCACCGTGTCCGTAGGTCTTGCTCGGAGCAGATGTGTGGACGAATGTGGCAGGCACATCACATCCACCTTGTCCTTGTGGCCCAAGTGGTGGTGTGGATGCCCCGGTGGTGCTCTGTCAAAGTCACGGCTCTCAAGCCCACAGCTCCAAATTCTCTTTCTATGAAATGAATGAAATGCTTACATAAAGGATCGATGGAGTGGACCATCACGGAAAAAAAAAAAAAACAGTTCCAATGAAATTCAGACCTCTCGCTGTTTATTTGCAATCAAACCATCCCCTTTTGCATTCATTGGGAAACAAACTGGAAAGGAATGGAACAGAGGAGCTGCGTTTATTTGCAACAAGATACATGGTGTGTTCGTCGTAGGGGTCATTCAGATCACACACAACACAGGGACACAGGGTACAGATCGCCGGTGCACGCTCTCACTTCAGCCGTCTCAGGTGACGACAGAAAGCAAGCTACCAGATCAGAACAAGTCCTTGAGTGTCGGGAGCTTGAACTCGCCGGAGGTGGAGAGCGGGATGGTGAAGTTCCCAACGATGGGTAGGTCGACGGTGAGCCCGACCTGGAGCTCGTAGTCGAGGTCCCAGTCCCTGCCGACGTCGCGGACGAGGGAGACGAGGAAGTCGTAGGGCACCTTGGCGGGGATCTCCAGCGAGGTGGTGCCGCTGGCGGCGATCCACCCGGGGTCCGGCATGGTCCCCGACGCCACCTCCTTGCCGGCGCACCGCAGCGTGTAGGTCACCTCGCAGATGGGGAGGCGGTGGTCGTAGGGGTTGGACACGTTCACGGTGCTGTGCAGCGTGATGCACTCCCGGCTCAGCCCCTTGAACGTCACCCCGTCCAGCGTCGCCTCCGGCTTCGGGATGTGCGCGATCTTGTCTGCTACGAACTCCTTCGCCTTGTCCATCAGGCTCTGCTTCTGCTTCCCCTCACCCGACGCGTGCTCGCTCGCCATGGCTGGCTGGCTGGATCTTGGGATGTTCAGGCGCAAAGATGGATCTTGGGAGGGATGGTGGGGTGAGGAAAGTGGTGGCCGCGTCGCGTGCGTATATATCAAGAAGAAGCGGAGAGGGAAGACACGGCGACCCCGCGGCATGTGCGTGGGCACCACGTGCGTGGCCGCGTGGAATCGGAGCATCCGAGTGGGAGGTGGGAGGAAGCGGAAGAGATGATTCGGCGCGGAGGTCCACGCCTCGGAACGGACGGTGCTGCATCGTGCGCCAGGCATCTGCAGGTAGCGTTGCGGCGCCGATCGCATCTCGCATCTCCATGTCGGCGGCGGCTGCCATCGCGCCGACGAGCCGGCACAAATACTCGTTCCGTTCCAAAAATAAAATAATATAATATACATCTCACCTTCTGATAAAACAACTACAGTAGTTTCAAATTTGACTAAATATATTATTAAAATGAAGATAATGGGTAGAGTTCCTTTTCTTGACATACAAGGTGTATGCCTGGCCAACAACCGAGTGTTTTGCAAGCTCCTGGCCCCTGATTTTCACCCATGCATTTACATTATCTTTTACGCTGTCTTATTACTATATTTATACTAATTTCTTAAGTGTTATTTATTAAACAGAGTGGTGTAATTTGGAGATAACTAAACTTAATACAAATCTCAGGCAAATATATGCAAAAAAAATTAAAAATAGAAATTATTTCTATGGATTACAAATATAAGAGAAATATGGATCTATCTAGGCAACAACTGAATTTTGTCCATATACTTACACTATCTTTTAGCTATATTTATATAATCTTATTACTAAATTTGCAATGATTTCTTCGATGTAATTTATTGGCAGAGTGATGTAATTTGGGGATAACACAACTTCTACTTCTGTAGATTGCAGACCTCATGTAGCTATGTGCAAATTTTAAAAAAAAATCAAATTATTTCTATGCACCGCAGATATCAGATAAATATATGCCAAATTATTCACAAATGTTATCAAATTCTTCACAGATTCCACAGCAGACAGCCATCCAACCAGAGCAGGGACAGAGAGCGGGCGTCCAAGGGCGCAGGAAGCCGCAGCCTAGGGGTGGCGGCGGAGGGACGGCCTTGGGGCGAACTGGTGGCAGCGGGGGCGGCCAGCCAGAAAGGCCACTCGATCCCAATACGGTAGCCACGGATTCAGTTGCTAGACCTCTCCAAAAACAACCGGTTGTCACCTAGCAATTGTTTTGATTTTCGATGCATCTACTGTCTCCCTGGATCCTCCCACGCTTCCCAAATCAGATCGATCTCCTCCAACGCTTCCCAAATCAGATCGAACTACAAGTTCGAGATTCATGGTGCTCACTCACTCCCCAGATCAGAGAGCTCCGAGATTCGTGGCGCCCATCTCCCGTCTCCCTTCCTAGATCCTCCCCAACGAATGTGGCAGAACCGTCTAATCTAATGCCTCCCAGAAATGCTTGTTTTTCAATAGACACTAAGCACTCAAAGGAGAACACTAAATCACTCGGTTTCATCGGGCACACTCCAGGGGAGAACTCAAAAATCCACATTTTTGCCATCAGGATCACAAATGAGAGAATAAAGCTTACATCATTCTTAACTATTTCTTACATCACTTTTAATACAACATCAGAGTATAATATTTATTATTATAATAGCGAAATGTAATCATATTATCAGAGTTATGAACAATTTAAATTGACAGCGGAATATAACATGTGATCAGAATTACAGCGAAAATAATTAGCTATTCATGGCATGATGAAGTATTGATATATAAACCACGACAACAGATTATGAAACTTTCATTTATAAAAGCATTTGGTGAAAGTTATAAATAACAACTACGATCGCAGCGTAAAGGAATCCTCGCTGAGCCCACTAGGAGGTATCCACACACAAGGATCAGCTCTAGCATCCACCTGTCACCTGCAACAGGGAGACTAAAACCCTGAGTACTCAATTGTACTCAGCAAGACTTACCCGACAGGATGAAAGAAAAGACTCTAAGGATATGCAAGGTTATCTGGCTGATGGGTTTATTGCATTTGCGAAAAGCATTACTAAGCGTGTGTCCTTATATTCGATTTTTATTAATATCCGCATTGGTTCATTAACTAACCATTCTATGTAAGCACCTGTGCTATTTTCAAACAGGTGGTAAGCACTCAGATTTTCTTTTTCCATCTTCCATCTTTCATCTTTCAATTCTTACTACGGTGCTAGACCCAAAAACAAATCGTATCGGATTTCCCGGCGATTCGTGAATCAATGCCCCCAGCTGGGTATCCTGAAAACACACGCCCCGCTTGTATCACGGGCACAAGCAGGACCAACCCATCACCCTTCTGTCCTAGGTGTCCAGGTCCCCGTCCAAACTGGGACTCCAAGCCCCTGCCCTTGAGTCCCGGACTCAGTGCGGTGCAAGGACCTCCTAACCCAAAAACCACCAAGACAGTCGGTCCGAAAAGAGCCGGATCCACGACAAGAGAGCAACAAGTCTTCCAAGCGCCCATACACAAGTATGTGCTCGGGATAATAAATCTGTGACTTGCCTCGAGACTTATGCAACAGTCGGTCCTTAACCGACACAGACAGGGAAAGTAGTGTAACCAGGCCAAGCCCCGCGTCCACGGCGACACAACCTCTTACACCCACCAATACCCAAACCATATCCCTTTCCGGTCACCATTTATCATTTCCACCATTTATATCTTCCAAGTGATAATAATATAGTAATATATTTCCCTATATCTCGCGAGTGACAGACAATCACTCGACTTATACCGGAGTCCTGTAGCATAGCATTCTACATGATCCTGTCATACTAGTAAAACTCATAGGATAAAGATATATATGCAAGTGGGTTTCAATCAACTCCTTAAACGTAATGCACAGATAGAATTTAAACTACAGAAAAGTAGGGGTTATGCACCGGGGCTTGCCTGGGTAAGATATATATATTAAAAGGTTAGTATCTGCATCTTCAGATCATCCACCATCAACTGAATAGAACGCCCATTGCATCATCTCCTGGAGAGAGTACCAATACACCATCTTCGGATTCCCAATCATCCTTCAATTGATCTGTTGATCCACCATCGTACCTATATGATATACATTGATGCAAATGCATAGATGTAAATAACCAATCAACAGTCGAAACACTTAGAAGTCCGACCACGCCTCACAAGCTAACGAGATAGCTCTAACGCTGGTCCATGTATCATTGTTGTCGAATAAGGCGTTACTTCCCAACCTATGTTTTAGTTATACAAACCCAAGTTGTTTCTTTATCATATTCTATCAATTTAATCTTTATTCGCAACAGGACATCATTATCTATCTAGCAAACTAATTATTACGGAGCTACAAAAATTACAGTGAGTGCCTGATATTGCTAGGAGTCTACTATAAAATTTTTAGATCCAACACTATTACCAATTTATCACAACAATTCTTATAAGTTTATATTCTTACAATATTAAGTAACTTAAATTAATTATATAGCTTCCAAGAATATTATCAAACTATGTGAATAAAATATACTAACAGGTAGATCATGATTTTAGGAGACTAACAAAACTAGTTTCACAATTTTTGGACTCCTAAATGATTTTATATTTAAATAACAAAATCCGCTCAGAATTTATATTTGAAACCTACTCTAATTCACTGGAAACAGAAAAGAGCACCGCGGCCCAAAAGGCCCACGGCAAGCGCGGTTCCAGCGCGACCCACGGCCGGCGATTCAGCGTGGCTCGTAGGCGCACAGCGCGGCCCAGGCGCGTGGCACCAGTCGGCCTAGGCGGGGCGGCACAAGGCCGGCCCAGCGCGGCAAAGTGGTCCAGCAGCCCCATGCGGGCGCGCGGCCCAGGCGACAGGCGGACAGCCCACAGGCGCGCCCGACCGGCGGCCCAGGCGGCAGGCAGCAACGCGCGGACTGCCCAAGCGAGAGGCAGGCCGCAGCCCAGCAATAGCGCGGGGGTTGGGCAGAGCAGCGGGGGAGAGAAATAGCGTGGAAGGGGCGGCGCTGCGGCACACGGGCGCACGGGAGGGATAGCAAGGGTGGCGGCGTGCCAGACATGGCCGGGAAAATTGGCCGGTCACGGCGGGATCGGCGTTGGCGCTTGGGAGAGGCATGGCTGCGGCCGCTGCGCCGGAGTTGGCGCACGATGGACCGATGCGGACGGCGGCGGGAGGTGAAGCGGCATGGCCAGCAGTGCGAGGGCGCGCGTCAACGGAGGTGGAGCGAACGGGCAACGCAGGCTCGGGCACTCACGCACTCGCAAGGCATGGTGATGGGAGCGGCCGCGCCATGGAGCCGCAAGTCTAGCATGGAACCGTGGGGGCAACAGGGAGCGGCATCGGTGGCGTGGAGCTGCAGCCGTCGAGGAGGAGGACGCGGCGCATGGCAACGCTCGGGAGGGGCAGCGCAGTGGCTTGCGCGCGCTCGCGGTGCGCCATGGCAGCTGCGGGGGCACCGGCGCGCGGGCACGGAAGGAGCGCTCACGTGAGCCAAGAAGGCAGAAAGATGAAAACGGCGGAGGCAATGAAGATCAGGCAGACAACGGCTAGGCCTTGGCGTGCTGAAGAAGTAGCGCGGGCAGGGTGCGGTAGGTGGATGGCATGGCATGACGGTGCCACGGCTCAGCTCTGCGCGCGACACAGCGGTAGAGCGGAAGTGACACAACGAGCAAGCAGCCAGCACAGCCAGGCCGGTAGGCCCACGCGCGTGAGGTACAATCGATCAACCTGTACAGTCAATCGCTACTAGTATCGCTGAGTACGTTTGCCCTTTCTTCTAATTCTTTGTTTTAGAGTTATCAACGTAACGTGTGTGTATATATATATAACGGTTTACTAATTTAGATAATTTGTAACATCTAGGCACAGGAAATTTCAACAAAGCTCGAATTTAAATTTGATTCAAAAGCTATATATATGTATATCGTTCTATTTATTAATGGATTTTATTTTAATTATAAAAGTTGCTTTTCATGCTTAATCTAACAGGATAAACCATTCGCTAGCATCGTGGTTCGACATTCCTAAATATCTTTACGCACTGAGTAATTTAACTTGGACGTTTATTCGAATCCACAAAATTGGGTCACCGGATTCACTTATCACATCAAGTATATTTTAAATTAAAAATTCTGAGAGACTCGTTTTGAAAATTTGACTTAGACCTAAATCACGATGCTAAACGAGCTCGTAACACCAGAGATGTGGTGTTACAACGAACTTGGGTACATCGACGACGACGGCGAACAGAAGATCCTCCTTGGTTGGAAAGGACACATGGACGATGACGGCGACTGCAGCAACGACATGGCCACAGCTGAGGTGCGTGGTATTCAGATCTCTTTCTTTGCCACCGATCCACCGCACCTCTCCCACTTCAGCGTCCATGGTCCGGGTCCGACGAAGAACCCGCCTTTACGTGGGAGGCCGTGCATCCTCCATTCGGTGGATAACCTTGCTCTCATCGGCGTCACCTCCGTCGGCGGCTTGAACAATGTCGAGTACTTCATATACAGAGTGGTCGGGCGTGGGCGGCGGCCATCACTCGAGCACATCAGCGATCACCTTCATCAAGTGCCGGTTGTTTCCTTCGTCGGCTTCCTGCCCCTGCTCCTGCCTTGTGACGGTGACGATGGCTTCGTTGTGGCTGCTCTCACTCTCACGCTAGGCAACCAGTACGGCCTCCATGTTTTTCGTCCCAAGCGGGGCTCATGGATCAGCAAAATGCACTTGCTTGAGCATGACCCAGTTGCTAACATACAACTTATCAATATAGAGAAGGTTATTGTTCTTTCAAGTGGTGAGGTAGGATTTGTCAACCTATGGAAGCTGATTCTAGTATTCGACATTCTTTAGGAGAAGCTCGTGTCCTGTTTGTCGATGGGGAACCCTACGGGCCCCCCATAGATCGTACTATAGGGAAGTGGACCTTGTAAGGCCCACAGCCCAATCGCCAAGAAGAACACGGAGCAAAGCAACGTGCAAGACCAAAACTCCAATTCGGACTATACAAGGAAAGGCGCCCAAAGCACAGCTTAGGACTCTGACCTTGTATCTGAATAGAACACACAACTCCTCTCAGCACCTGGACTATAAAGGGCTGGTGAGGATATCCCTTGTAACCGACTGAACATACCCAATACTCAAAGCAATACGATGCAAACAGGCTAACGCCGAACTGAACGTAAGGTTATTACTCGACCAAGTCGAGGGCCTGAACCAGTATAAATCGTGAGTCTCTTTGCGTAACCGCCGAGTTCCACTATTCGCCGAAGCCCGAACAACTGTTCCGGGTACCCCCGTGGCAGGCTATCGGTGGTAAAACATCGACACCGTTTTATCCCATTGCCGAAGTTCTATCTGGCAACCAGTCCGGCAACCAGCTGGGCTGCTCTACAAGGATTTTTCAAGATGTCATTATCTTCGCAGACAGTTTTCATCAAATGTGTTGAGGTTGAAGCTTGCTGGCAACGCATATTACACGAGGGACCTCAGGCATCCAATAGCCATGTAGTCTCCTGCGAATCACCAATGGATGTATGGAACAAAGATGTGCTCTATGACTCAGAGTTCATGCCGCATGCATTACATGGTGGATGAGGATGATGACACAGAAGGGGTAGAGGAGACTTATGAGTGTGATTATCTCGGATGAAGGGCCATTGCATGGAATAGAGAGCTTTCGTCCACCTGTTGGCACAAGGAGTATTTTTTCGTGCTCAGGATATTACCCATACCATTATTGCTGCCTCCGAGAAAAGTAGTGCACATACATTGACACTGAAAGATTTGTATGTATCTTTCCTCACACTTAGCCTGGATAACAATACTATGTACGTCTTCTCGAAAGTAAAAATGGTGGACCAGGAATTTCATGTGGTAATGGTTGACCCAGGGAATGATTCACTCTTAGGATTCTCGCCGAACCTAGTTGAATGATCTCAGCTTTTCAATCCTTCATATATTACTTGTGACATATTCAAATATCTCAATGCTGATTTAGGTAACTAATTTACACATTTCTTTTCACCATATTTTCTTCGTATTATTACTTTGTATTGATTATTGATTGTTGAAGCAAGTATGTTCATTTGTAATTTAGAGTTGTTGTAGGTAACGATGGATATATGTAAGAGAGGTGGTAGATGAGTTGGACATTGAATCTATTTACCATGATGCAGTGAGATGGAGAAAGGTATGTCTAATCCAAAAATTGCGTTCAAAAATTCTTTGTATTGATTATTGATTGTTGAAGTAAGTATGTTCATTTCTAATTTAGAGTTGTTATAATTAATAGTGGATATGTAGGAGAGGCAGGAGACGAGCTGCACATTGAATCTATTTACCATGATGCAACTAAGGTGGAGAAATTAAAGGTATGTCAAATCCAAGAATTGCGTCCTCGGGTTCTTTTAATGTTGTTCTTATCAATATTTTATTTGTTGAATGTGGAAAAGGTAATTTTTATTTTACCTAATTTGCCAACAACAAGTATTCGCCTCCGATGTACTATCGATGCTCAACACCATCGTGTTTTTGTAGCTGTTTTCAGTCACCACTATAGCAGTTAGGTAACCAAAATTAGTACTCAAGTCAATAACTCAATATTCATTTCGATATTTTTTAATGTGATAGCTCTGCGATTTGGTCTACTTGATTAGGATGAGAAATACAATAAGGAGTAAGAAGTTAGAGTCTCATCAAATATGATATCTCATGGGCAGTATCTCTTGCAGCCCATCAATGCGAGCGTTTAGTGACAATGAGCTGAAGACACATATTTTCTAATTGCTATTATGTTAGGTTTAGGACTATTCTTTTGGGTTATCATGCCCACTCTCAGTTCATCAACTAAACTTGTTGCAATAAAAGTTCATCAACTAAACTCTTTCCTATATAATAAAGCAAATCTTCGTGACCAAAGGGGTAGTTTGTAGTGATTTCTATTAACTTGATGTGTCAATGACTCAATATTACTTCTGACATTTTTTGCAATATGATAGGTCTGCGATTTGGTACACTTGCTTGGGATGAGAAATACAATAAGGAGCAAGAAGTTGGGGCCTCATGAAATATCATATTTATGTTACTAACCTTGGGGATTTGAGAAGATAATTCCAATAGAGAAGTGGCTATGTATATAGAGAGAGCCTCATGGGCCATATGGGCCTATAGTAGATGTGCCTTAACACCCCCTTTTAACTCAACGTGGAAGCGTAGGATCTAAAGTATTGAGTTTGAGCAAGTGCAGTCGATGCTGTTCTCGAGTTTGTGCCTTAGTGCAGAAGTCAGGCAATTGCAGCTCTGAGAACACATACTGGAGATCAATGGTGTGCTAATGACAAAGAGACCGAGTAAAGAAGGCATCAACACCAATATGCTTTGTAAGTTTGTGCTTTGTTCACAGGATCATTGGCAATCTGGATGGCTCTAGTGTTATCACAAGAAGAGGTGTGGCGACATCATAAGAAATCCCAAAATCAGCCAACAACCATCGAAGCCATAAAATTTTCGCAGTAGTAGTGGCAAGTGCTCGAAGCCCGGCCTCTGCACTAGAACGAGATACAACAACCTGTTTCTTGGACCTCCAGGCAACAGGAGAAGTGATAAAGAAAAATACAGTACCCTGTTATGGAACGACGATCTGTCGGGTCATTTGCCCAAGTGGAGTCCGAGTAAGCATGAAGCTGAAGTGTACTATCCCAAGCATAGAATAAACAACGAGATGATGTCCCTTGTAAGTACTGTAGCACATGAAGTAAGTGAAGCAAATGAATCAAAGTAGGGGCACACACAAACTGACTCAAAATATGGACTACATGAGCAATATCATGTCTGGTAACGGTCAGATAAACAAGAGGACCAACAATATGCCAATATTTGGGGGATCCTCAAGTGGTGTACCATTAGTAGGACGAAGCTGCAAGTGAAGATCTATAGGTGTTGTAGTCGTTCGATTATTAGTGATGCTTGAACGAGTAATAAGATCTTGTATACTTTTTTTTTTGTTTTTTCAGCCGAGAAAGATGGTATCCCTTGCTCCATCGCTAAGGCCAGTTGATCCACCGTTCCTCGATAAAACCCACCGGGGGCCCATAGCACGAGAAACACCACTGCATGTCGTCGGACGGCAATGAAAGCGAAGCCCATGAAGGCCTGGTTCAGAATGAGCCCATGGTACAAGGAGCACGTGGGCTTCGTGTAACCCAAAGTAATGGACCGGCAGCAGGAGGCTCCAGCACTCATCGTCATGGCACGTACCTGACATGTCTGCTCGTCTCGTCGTGTCGAGCAGAGAAGCGGCCACCGCATCCAGGCAACCAAGCTCGCCGACCCAATTTAATCCCCACCGATCAAAACAGCGCCCGGAGCGCGACGTCCAACTCCCCAACCACCAAGCACGATCACCGTGGTTGACAGGTACCTGCCCGCCTTAACCCTCCCAGCCCCACAACGCCGCCTGACTTGATCCTACTCAGCTTAGCCTCAGCAACTACCACCAATGCCGGCTGCCCCCGCCACGCGCACCACCACAACGACCCATGGCCGACGCCGCCAACCCACTGACCAAGCCCACCAAAGCCTCCGCACCCTTCGTCGTCTTTGACGCCGCCAGCGCGAACAAGGCCGCCAAACCCAAAGCCGGCGGCTGCAAGGCCCACGACGGCGACGCCGATGATGCCCCGACGCCGTCGTCGCACGGCCGCCGCCGCCGCCGCCGCTGGCTGCGGTGGGCGTGCTGTGGCGCGGCCGTAGCCGGCGCGCTGACAGCCGCGGCCGTGCTGGCGCTGTCGCTCACCGTGCTCAGGGTGCGGGACCCGATGCTGTCGATGGAGTCCGTCGCCGTCCGGCGCTTCAGCGTGCGCCTCGAAGCCGCGCACCCCGCGCGGCCGCTGCGGATCAACCTCACGCTGTCCGGCGACATCGTGATCCGCAACCCCAACTACGAGTCCATGCGGTTTGGCGCCAGCGCCACGGAGATCTTCGTGGACGTGGACGGCGCGGCGGAACCGACACCCGTCGGGGTCGGACGCGCACCGCCCGGGGAGGTCCCCGCGCGCGGCGCCAGCCGGGTCGCCGCCGACGTGGACGTGCTCGTCGACAGGGTCTCTCCCGCCGTGGTGGCGCAGGTGCTGTTCGGCGACGGCGAGGTGCGGTTCGACACCCGCACCACCGTCGACGGCAGGCTCAGCCTGCTCGGCGGACTCTACGGCCGCCGCACCGTGCGCGTCGCCATGCGCTGCCGCGTCGCGCTCCGCGTGTCGGCCGCGGCCGTCGCCGTCGCCGGCAGCCCCGCGTGCGTCGCCGACTTCGGACGCTGACGACACCTGCTCTTCGGTAGCTTCGCGCTGTGACGGCCGTGTCTATGGGTGAGCCGACCGGTGTAGTTTTTGCCCTTCTCTTTACCGCCGGCGGTGACCGGCGGAGTTACTTACGGTGGCGGCTAAGATATAACCGCCGTGTAGCGCTCCTGCTCCCTCCCTACTTCCTTGTCAGTAAATTCCGGCTTGTTTCGTTTACCATAATACACCTAGCGATTGTGTTCGTGTTGTACAGTTGTTTGTTATTCTAACTTTTGTTTACAACTTTGCTAAAAAAAAGAACTTCTGTTTACAACTTCTTTTTGGCGAAGAGTTCTATGTTAAATTAATATACGATTTTTTTTTGTCAATAATGGAGTGAAGATTTCGCAGTAAACTTGGCATATGAAGGTACCACAGTATAAATTAAGATTTCCATGTGGTGTTTAAAAAAGGAGGTCATTCTAACGAAGATAACTTTGCAAAATAGTTGGTGGAATGGTAACAAATTTCGCAAGCAGACACAGTCTACGGGCTCTGGGTGCTCGGGCGTTGTTGGCGCGCGCGTGGTCGGCCACATCGATCTACATGAGACTCTGGCGGGGCCGTGCTAGTAGACGGCGCCGGTTGTGCCAGCGGCGGCCGATGACAATGACGACGAAGGCACCACGGTCGGTCGACTGGGGCCGCCCCAGCAGCGCTGGGCGACACCGCTGCCCGGTGATCGGGCTAGACGCTGACGCCGGCGACAGAGGAACCATGGTCGTTCAGCAGGGGGCACCTCTGCCCCTGCTGGTGCCCAGGCCGAACACAGTGAGCTAACAGGCGAGACGGGCGTTGTCGAGCTTGACCTAGTGACGCTAACACTGTACATGACAGCCACACTTTATCGTGACATCATGGAGGACCCGATGCTAGTGGAGCTCACGGCTTCGCTCGCTAGCAGTCAAATCGTCACGTGCCCTCCACTTGGGCATCTAGCTCCGGTGGTCACCCAGCTGGTGGATGAGGCCCCGGCGGTGATCACCTGTGTCTGCACCTGCGGTCTACCAGGAAAGGAGTAGACGTCGTCCCAGCATGCCAACTCGATGCTGCGGACACCACCCCTGCGCCCCACTCAGTGGGAAAGCGGCCTCGCCCCCGGTGTCGCCTCAGCAAGGGCAGCCGTAGGTCATGCCAAAGCGGATGGTGTTCAATGACCCCTCTGGTGTTGATGCGCCCACGGTGGGCGAACAGTGCGACCCACCAGGCTTCGGTCCAGTCCACCTCACAACGGATCCTAATACGCCGTCAGGGGATACCCACCAGATCATTGGCAACTATGCCCCCTTCAAGCATCACCTCGACAACTTGACCAAGAAAGTGGTGCATAAGAGGGCCTCCCCGCTGATTCGTGAGCCACCCAAGCCACCACTGCAAAGGCGGTAGTGCCATTGCGGAACAAGCGTCTAGCGGCTCAAAGCCTCTCTCAAGTGACTACTTTTAAGCGAGGCGAGATTCTAATCATGCAGCGATTGGGTTTGGTCACACGTCAGTCAACGCCAAGTACGTCTACGATAAAGACGTACGAGGCGTTCTTTACGAGTGAAAGCATCTAGGCCCCTAGTTGGGTTTCGGTGATTAATGACAATACAAGATTACTATGACTAACGTGTATCTAGGCCCCTAGTTGGGTTTCGGTGATTAATGACAATACAAGATTACTATGACTAACGTGTGTTTTGCAGAGGCAATTAAGTTAGGTCATGGTAATGGAGATCGATTGCGCAATCATGGTGGTCATGCCCCTACGATGGAAATCATTTCGGTTTTCAAAGGATGGATGACAAGGTTAAGGATGACTAGTTCTAAGTGTCGATTGGAGTTGGAGAGACACTTAGAGTAGTTTAGGACTTTGTTTTTCCTTTGACCGTACTATTAAGGGGGGTATGAACGGGTAGCTTGACCTAAGTGAGTCTAGTGAGTTAGGTGTGGTGCACACTTGTTAAAACTAGCACTAGGTAGCTCCTAAATATGCCTAAGATCCTTTGGAGCAAACTTCATTCACATATGATCGAGAGTTGGAAGTGAATGGAGGGTCAAATACTGACCGGACGCTGGCTCCGGTTTGACCGGACGCTGGCTCAGGGTCCGGTCAGTTCATTTGACCAAGGTGATTGCGTCTGGTTTGACCGAACGCTGAGAGGTCAAGTGACCGGACGCCAGAGCCGAGCCAGTCCGGCCGACTCAATAAAGGTTCCAAAGAGGAAAATTGCGACGGACGCGCGTCCGTCCGGTGTTGATCGGACGCCGCCGTCCGGTCACATAGAACACTGGAGTTTGGGGTGTCTCGACGGAGCGTCCGGTCAACAACATGACCGAGCGTCTGATCACCCATGAGAGGCACATATACGGTTCGTTTTTCAAATTTATGTTATAAATACCACCTCCACTCGTGTGTGGGGGTACTTTTGCTCATTTCAACAGCTGAGAAACACGTTTGAGAGTGCCAAGAAGAGTAAGGTCCTAGTAAGGTGATTGAGATTTGAGAATCCCAAAGAGAGCCCTCATTAGCAAGATCAAGAGTAGCAAAGTGTGCATCCACCCTTCTCCCTAGGCTTGTTGTGGTCAAGTGAGAGTTCACGCTTGTTACTCTTGGTGATCGCCATCACCTAGACGACTTGGTGGTGATTGAGAGCTTGGTGATCATCTGAAGAGTGTCGGTGTTTTGGACCGGGGGGTCCTCAACCGACTAGTGAAAGTATACTACGTGTTCCTAATCCCGGATGGTGATGCAAAGAGACACAAGGTTTATACTGGTTCAGGCAATAGGTGCCCTACGTCCAGTCTGAGGGAGTGATCTTGTATTCCTTGCACCGAGGTGCTTGTAGTAGGGGCTTACAAGCTGGGCGAGAGAGGGAGCTAGCCCCAGGTCTTTGTGAATTGCAGTGTGTGTTGCTTGAGATGTTGATCTCTTGCAGTGAAGGAGTGTGCGTGTTACAGAGTGTTGTGCGTGGCTTGCCCTGGTTTTCCTCCTGCCTAGAAGCGGCCCTGGTCACTCCCTTTTATAGTTGAGGGGAGGCACAGGGGCGGTACATATATTTGCTACGTGGCGTTCTTCGGCAAGGGCGGCATGTCCGAGCCCTACAGCTTGTCACTGTGGCGGTGCGGTCGGTGGAGCGGTCTTGTCCTCCGTGCACTAGAGCGACTCGCCGGTCACGCCTGATCCTGTGCAACGTGGGAGCTCCTGTGGTGGCAGGCGCGCCTTCTTCTGTTGGAGGCGTGCTAGTCATTGTATGTTTGACCGACGCGGAGTGCCGAGACCGGGTTGATGCGATGGCGCGGGTATGCTGATTCCGAGGCTTCAGGAGCTAGGCCCTGTGCACGACGTGGGAGCTCCTGCAGCCCAACGCAGGGCATGGCGCGTACTGCGGGCGGCGTGCCGGTCCTAGAGCGCTGACAACGTAGAGAGCCGAGGCCCAGTTCGATGCAGAGGCTGGACCATCGTGGGGGGCTCGGCGGGCGCGAGTCCCGAGGCTACAGGAGCCCGGAAGTGGGTAGCCGAGGCTCGGAGGGAGCAGTTGGCCTTGCACGTCGTTTTCGAGGCTACAGGGACCCGGATGTGACTTTCCATGCCTGGGCAGGGGTTAGGCAGCACAGTGTGACACGGGTGTCCGTCGTGGGCACAGCACCGAGCACAGCGGCCGGTAACCCTCGCCCCGTCCTGTCTCGAATAGCGTGGGGTCGATGTGACTTCCGTCTCATCGGCCACTCCGCTATACCATGTCGTCGTGCGGCTGACGTCGCGGGAGTGGTTGAACGTGTTAGTTGGGTGTGATGTCTTGTCAGAGAAGTCGGTCAAGGCGGTGGTGACGGGGTTGATGCCGAGGTAGCCTCGAGCGAGCCGGTAACTGGGTGCTCGTCCGAGGCCTCGTGGCTCGGGGCCTCGGGCGAGTCGGAGAATCGATACCTCATCCGAGGCCTTGCGGTGTGGGGCCTTGGGCGAGTCGGAGAATCGGTACGTCGTCCGAGGCCTTGCGGTGTGGGGCCTCGGGCGGGCCAGAAAATCGGTACCTCGTCCGAGGCCTTGTGGTGTGGGGCCTTGGTCGAGCCCGCATATTTGTTTGAGGTGGGCCGGGCGGTCCAGCCGGGCCTCGGATGTGGCGGGTTTGCCTGTGGTTGTATTTTGGTTTCGTTATTTACAAGGTCTAAGCAATTTTTTTGGTTCTTGCTTAGGGTACCCCTTTTTATGGTATCCGACAGAGAGCTTGTGGATGACCCAACTCAAGTTGTGAGCGGTTGTGGGTGATTCACCGCGACGGAGTGTCGAAGAATAAACCCGTAGGGAGCACTTGATCCTTGCGCGGATCAAGGGGGAGCTACACCCTTGCGCGGGTGCTCCAACGAGGACTAGTGGAGAGTGGTGACTCTCCGATATCTCGGCAAAACATCGCCGCGTTTCCTCTCCTCTTTTTACTTTGATCATTTACTTTGAGCATTTACTTTGAGCAATTTAATTCTTGTTTTTACATTCATAGAATTGCCATGCTAGAGTAGGATTGGAACTTAGGTTGCGAGTCTTTTGTGCGGTAGAACAAATAGAAACATTTTCTAGGCACAAGGGGTTAATTGGGCTAACCATAGAATTTAATTATTGCAAAGAAATTTAGAATTAACCCAATTCACCCCCCCTCTTGGACATCTTGATCCTTTCAATTGGTATCAGAGCCTCGTGCTCACATATTTAGGCTTAACCGCCTAGTGAAAGATGTCTCACGGGGATGGACCTTCTCCTATCTTTGAGGGGGACGATTTTCCATATTGGAAATTTCGCATGGATGCGTATCTAGAAGCTCTATATGTTGGAATTCTTAGAGCTGCCTCACAAGGTTTTCCAAAACCTCGGGATGCCGCACACCCACAAGGCGATGAGTTGAACTATGAAAAATGGAATGCAAAGGCTAGAAACACCATATTTAGAGGCCTTTGTAAAGATGTGTTCAACCGGGTGAGGAACCACAAAGACGCCCATGCACTATGGT